TTTCCGTTCGGTTATTATTGATAACCATGAAAATCCGGTGTAAAATCTTTTATAAGAAAACAACAAAAAAGGACAACCTTGATGACAAAAAAGTCCAATCTTCCCCACTCACAAAAAAATGAAAAGGGATAAACAATTTATAGATTGCAAGCTAATTAAAAAAATATTGGTTATCATTTTAATTCTGTCAATAACCGCACTAAGAGATTGCTTGAAAAAAGGAATAAAAACAAAGACTGTTTTTAAAAGCTCTGAGGACCAGAAAAAATGTTTAAAAACATTGAAGGATTGGTAGATTTTCTTTGAAAATTTATTAAAAAAAAAAAAACTACATTACCAGCATCAGATTATTCTTTTCCCTTTGACTTTTTTCATTTTATCCTCCAAATTTCTATGTCTGCAATTTCAATGACCCCATTGATCTAAAATTTCATAGAGACTGGTTGAAGACAATTTCTCTTTTGTTATTACTTTCAAAAAAGTTTTCCACCTTTTCGGGGAGAGATCAATAATTGAAATTGTTCCGTTTATTTTTATTTTTCGCCGCGTGTCATTTGATTTTCAAAATTAATCTAAAAGATTTATAGTCCATGAAAATACTCCTCTTGACCAATTTAGAAGACTCGCCGACCTATGCAGTGCAAAAAGATTTCATTGACACATTGATGAATATTGGTCCTGAAAGTGTTCGATGTTTACGTAAAATTCAAAAAATTAAAACGATGTATCGTCGAGAAATGGAACCAACTGCATCGAATTCTTCAACCTTTGACCTTAAAATTTAGGTCAAGTTAATTCAACATATGAATGATTCAGCTCTCTTTATATCTCTTTTGTCTTTCATTATATATGATATATATAATGCAACTTTTATATGACCTTTTCAAAACCCTAAAAAAAATTTCTTCCTTGACTCTTGAATGCCTGACCCTTTTAAAAGTTATTAATTGTCCCTTTTACATTAAACCTTACAATAAATCATGTGATGGCTACTACTTCGAAACCGTAAACCGAAGAAACAATCCTTCACCAATGTCCTTTATTACTTACTCAAGTTAAAGCTACAATCTGTCCAGTGCGAAAGGATCAGAGGACCCCGTAGTGCGAGTTATTGCTCTTTTATTGTTTGAGCTTATCGTAAAAGCATAAAACTATTGTACGAAGCACAGAGTGAACTGCTAAGAAATATCTTTAGCCATGAAGTTGTTAAAAGGTCAATGGCCATGTTCTCTTAGAATATTTAGAATTTTATTTACTGTGATTTTATTGTTTCATATTTATGATTAATGACTGATGAAAGACAAACATATCTAAAACAAATATTAGTAATGCAAAACAGATGGAAGAACCTTTAATTGTTAAAGAACAATTTAAGTCTACTAGTTCAATGTATCTCGTTTTAATTTTAATATTACGTGAACCACAAACTGGTAATTATTAATGTTGTAAAAATTAGGAATATTGTTTTTAAATCCTCAATGTCCAGAATGTGAACACTGCTTGAAAAAAACACCTTTACAAAACTTTACTTGCAAAGTAAATCTCATTAAAGGTGCTCCAAAAAGCAAGGTCATCTTTGTATTAACTTTACAAAAAGTAAAGCTGAAAAGGTAACCTTTACTTAAACGAAAGGGTAATTAAATTCAACCTTTCACCTTTAATGCTGCATTAAAGTTGATACATACATATATATATATATATATATATATATATATATAACTCTGATTTAAGGACTAGGGAGACCAGAACATTATATATGGCTTAAGGAGACAATATACAGATTTTTTAAATTTGCTTTTTTCTAAAAAGAAATACCAGATCAATGTTCTATAGAACACCATTTAGTCGACTCTTGCTTTATTTTTTCATTATAAATGCCTCCTAAAAATATATGAAAAAAATGGTCTCCCTAATATTTTATGTTTCTCTCATATGACTTAAGGAGACCAGTGTATACTTTTATACATATAACTTGTGGTTTAAGTAGACCATTTTTCTTTCATAGTAATTTCACTGATTATGGATTAATTAACATATTGTTTCCAACCAGAATAGTTGCGGATGGTCATTGGTCAAGCTCAGCAGAAAGATATTTGTGTTAATGTGACTCAACATGATCAGTACAAAATCTTGAATATAAAACTAAAGTCATTGCACAAGTGACTTATATAGAGAGTAGTTGCCCCCCTGGCGCAGTGGTTAGAGCGTCTGCTCTAGAGTAGAGAAGTAAGGAGTTGATCCTTACATTGCAGGTTCAAATCCCACAGTTGGCTGGGGAGACCGATCCTTCGGATGAGACCGCATAAATCGAGGTCCCGTGTCACAGTAGGTGCTGGCACGAAAAAATCCCTTCACTGCTCAATGGCTGTAAGTGCTGAGTATAGGACAAAATTTGCAGCTTTCCACTGGCATGTGGTGGCGTCTCTATATGAGTGAAAAAATCCCGAGAGGGACGCTAAACAACATACAATCAATCAATCAATCAATATATAGAGAGTAAAAGCCCAGAGTAGCTTGTTCTGATATCCACAATTAACTCTCAATGCTGTCGCCCACATGTTGCAGTGGTAAGAGCCTATGCTCTAGAGTTGCCGTGTTAGGAGTTGATCCTTATGTCACATGTTTGAATCCCACTGTGGGACGTGGAGACCGGTCCTTCGTACAAACCAAGGTCCAGTGTCACAGTAGATACTGGCATGAAAAAGATCCTTCACTGCTCATTGGCCCTGTGTGCCGAGCATAGGTCATTTGCAGCTCTCCACCGGCAAGTGATGGCGTCTCCATATGAGTGAAAAATTCTCGAGAGGGACGTTAAACAACAAACTCTCAATGTCCAATACAGTTTAACCTGAAAGTGAATGCAGACATAGACATGCAGACATAGATTAGACTTATTCTTTAGACCAAGTATAGTATACTCCATATTGTTTTGTTGAGGACACAAAGTTCACAGTGGAAATCAAGTAGTTTTTCCTGCTATTTATACCCAGCTTCTTTTAAACCATATAGTCATTGAGTGCATTCACTTTCCAACTAATTGATGAAGTTCTGAATCATACCTATATTTGTTTAAATTCTTTGTGATTTAAGAATATGTTTGACCAGTTGAAACCAAGAGTACATGTACTACATAAAATTTTAATGTTGTTATTAAGATCCAGTATAGCAATATGTAGATGCCATGTTCAATATACATATTTGCTATCATTAAACTTGCAGAGACCATGAATCAAAATAATTCAAATGCTTCAAAATCATTTTATTTTTACTGCTAGTCAAAATACAGTCACTCAAGCATATCCTTTGTTAATTTGAAAAAAAAAATGATAGTTTAACATTTATTATTAATACCATACCAAAGCACAAGATAGTGCACTTCTTACATAATCCAATGATTCATGCTGTGATTTGACATATTTAGATGTTTCTCATTTACAGTTCAATATACATGATATACAAGTACATTGTGACACTAACCTAGTATCAGTTGAATGGATCATTACTATTCTGTTTTTAAGAAGTTTGCAGGGTAAAAAGTATAATAAAATAAAAATGTTGATACATTTATTGATTGCATATGCTAAAAACTTTGATAAAATATCAAACTTTGTATCATAACAGCTTTTACAAATTAATTCAATACATTCAAAGGTACAAAAATCAAATTATTTTCATCCACAGTTTTATCATATTCAGTTGAACAACAGCTACATCTATTATATAAAATGTATGGTAGTTGGCACTGATGGTATAATCAAAGAATACAAAGCTCACTTCTATAAATGTTATCCACTAGTAAGGCAAAGTCTCACTCAACAAACACTCTGGTAATGTATATCACCTGAATCCAAAATCTATGCAAGTTGTTCTGGGTTAGATTTAACTGCTCAATAACCCTGAAAATGTATGTTACATCCAGCATCAGAAGCAGGATGCATCATCTATGTTTACTGATCACCAAAGAGTATATTGTTACTTTGAATGAACCTTCTCTAAAAAACTGGTCATTAATCCAGAAAATCTAAGTCAAATCAAGGATTGGTACCCTGAAACATTAACATACATCATCTTTGCAGGTTTGTTCAACATACAGTTTATAATTACATGAGAATAGGACTGCTCAAAACACTTACTCTTGTGGAGTCCCCCATGTGGCGCAAAGGCTAGAGTGTGTAATCTAGAGTCGCAAGTAAGGATTTAATCCTTAAGTCTCAGGTTCAGATCCACTGGGGATGTGGGGACCAGTCCTTCAGATTCGACCGTATAAACCGAGGTCCCACCTCACAGTTGATGTGGGCACAAAAAAGATCCCTTATTGCTCAATGACCCTGAGTGCTAAGTATAGGTCAAATTTTGCAGCTCTCCACCAGTAAGTAGTGGCATCTCCATATGGATGAAAAATTCTTGAGAGGGATGTTAAACAACAAACAAACAAAAACAAAAAACACATGAAGAAAATGTTGATCAGGTCAAGCATCTGAAGTAAATCTGTTAATGTGCTTTAATCCATGCAAGTTTGTCCAGTTAGAGCTTAGGAATAAACCTTGCTCCTTAAATTTTAACTGGGATGACAATGCTAGGTATATAGCAAGAACTCATCTAGACTGTCCAGAAAAGCTTAAGAATATTTAGCAATATCTTACTTGCATGATTTAAAAAAATCTGCAATCTAACATTATTCTAAAACAATTTCAACAAAGTTTCTAATTTTCAACAAATTCAATGCACTATGAGATGAATTACATTTCTAAACCACATACACTCTACTTAAAGTGCAATATACATGCATTATACTGTATGTTAAATCTTTACAGTTCTCTTCAAGTACTCTAATAGTATATAAAATATGAAGATTACCAAAAGTGATCAAGCTTTGAAGTCCATTGAAACAATACAAAATTGGAGCAGAGCAAACACAGACCTCTAAAAACACCAAGTGCTATGGAGGAGAAAGCATTTTCTGCCATGTGCTCCTTGACATGATTGGGCAAATGGAAAAATCCACAAACAATTCAATGTAAACAATTTTGATGAAAAACATTAGTCAACATTCAACTTAATGATAGATTAAATTTGCTATAACAATTAATTTACATGTAAGTGTACACACATGTATGCATACCCAATTTTACTAAATGAATTATTTCACAATATCCAAAATTGGACAATAATATATAGTTTCTAATCTAGCCAGACAACAGGAAATTTTCATTATCACTTAAATTACATGAAACTATTGATGTCTGTGAGCTACAAATTATATCTAAAAATTATATACATTTTAACAAGTGTTTACAGTTTAGTGCATTTATTATACACAAATGATGACTTAATTAGTAAGACATACCAGTAAAGTCCACAGATTGACTTCCAGATTTCAGCTCAAAGGCTTGAAGATTTTTAGTGGCTTTTTCTCTCATAATTTTTTTTTCACTGAATATTTTCATTTTTTTTTCAAGACACTGTTTTTGTTGAGGTCTTTTAGCAGTTTGATGCAATCCAAGAACTCTGAGGGCAATTTAAGAACTGAATTTCTTTCTTACCTGGCAAAAATAAAAATTTAAAAGTTTGAAATATATTCAACTTACATGAAGAAAACTAGTAAAACTAGCGATAATGTAATAGACCTTTCAGATGTTCCAAAGCAGCTACATGTACCTTATTAAAAAATATAAAGTTTGAAGTATTTAGAGTCACCTGTATTCTGAACAAGGGATATGTGTATTTGACAGACAGATGAATGAATAGACTGATCACTATAGGGCACCTTAGTCTTTTTTCAATAATCTTTATATTAGTGAAAATCAAATAGGAACTAGAGTGTTTCAAGGAATGTATATGTCACCTGCTAGGTATCGTCATTAAAGAGGTAAATAAATCTAAGAGTGGTCAGCTATTAATTTAATATTAGCATGGAGGTTCATGCATTTGCCTGCAAGGAAAAAAAAGGATCCAAAAGTAAAAGACTGGGATAGAATCTGGCAATTAAAGAAAATATGGTTCCCCAGTCCTCAAATGAATAATTAAATTGAAATTATGATGAATAACTATTTATCATTTTATTAATACACATGCAGGTGCTTCCAACAATCCTCGGAGGAAAGAGATTTCAGACTGTCTTTACTTTGTCACTTTGTCAGTCAACACGATTCATTGTAGAATACTGATCCCAATGTATTTTCATAGTATTTAAATAAGTTTGTGGTAACTGAATTTCATACAGTTTCAAAGTATAGTATCATGAGCTCAAAAACATATATAAATGCTAATTATCAAAACCCTGCCTCTAAAAATTTTGGAGATATAAGGTGTGACAGACGGACAGACAGACACCAGGTAAAGTGATCTCTAAGTGTCGTTCTGCTCTGCAGTTGACACAAAAATGAAACTTAGTCAATTTTTGAGCATGCATATCACTTCAGTGATGAAAGGAATGCTGAAGTGGTAAGTCTATCCTAATTATTTGAAAATACGGCAACCCCATTGGTCAGAATATAATACATATGCTGTCCAGCCTTAATTTCATTGGCATAAAGCAGCACAAAACAAGATTTGATTGGATGGTGCAACTTGTTTTTCTAGGGGGCGCTGTTGCAACCCTGGAAAAGAAAATAGGACTGGGGCTTGCCCTTTGGGGGCACTTACTGACCGAAAGTAAACAACAGAAATAGCAAATTACACTAGAAATATGTCCATAGGCCATGAATGCCCCGCCGAGTGTATAGTAATGCAACATGAAATTTTGTGTTAGTATATGAAGTTTGATGAGAATATCTTGAAAAGTTTCTTTAAAATTGAAATAAAAATTTAAAAAAAAATGAATAGATGATAAGTTCTCACCAAATTATGTATAGATGCATAGCCTTAGATAACAATATCTTAAATGGTTTAAAACCATGCAAGATGCAAATTAAAGAAAAGTGAGGTCAAGGTCACAGGAAAGGTCAAAAATTTTTGAAATAGTTGAATAGGTCTTACTAATCTTACAGCATATTAAGTTTGATAAAAAATATCTTGAATGATTTCTTTAAAACTGAGCTAGTCACAAGCGTGGCGCCATGGTTAAAGCGTCTGCTCTAGAGTCACGAAGTAAGGAATTGATCCTTACATCACAGGTTTGAATCCCACTGTGGGATGTGGACACCAGTCCTTCGGATGAGACCTTATAAACTGAGGTCCCATGTCGCAGTAGGTGCTGGCAGGAAAAAGGACCCTCACTGCTCAATGGCTGTGAGTGCAGAGTATAGGACAGAATTTGCAGCTTTCCACTGGCAAGTGGTGGCGTCTCCATATGAGTGTAAAATTCCCAATAGGGGCTGCAGATTACCTGTTATGATTGACCAAAATCCCTACTAGGCTTTAAACTCTTCATTCTTGACCTGTATATCGTCAAATGAGATTTGTCCAGTTAATTAAGGTAAAAATTACTAATTGATAAAACTGTAAATGATTTTTTTTTTACCTGAGTCAGATTTTTACTTTTCTTAAAGGTGTCTGGATTTGACTGTTGGTTCCACCTATCTCAAGGAAATGATCTGTAACAGTAAATGTTAGAAATCATAATCTGTTCTCTATCTCCTATAATCACGAGAAAAGGTGTTAAAAATTAACAGCAGTCATATTAAAGGCTTTTTTCAATCATCAATTTATTACTGAAAATCATAAAAGTATTAGGCAAAAATGAAAAATAAATGTTGTCATTAATTAACCTTGCATATCTCTACAATTTTCTGATAAGAAAATTTATACCCGATAGATGCAATATAATCACCCTTTGCCTGCCCCTAAATTAAATTATGAAATTTTGATAGATTTTGATTTAAGCAATTATTTAAAACAAGGTTTTTTTAGGGGCACGTACCCCTGCTTTAGATTTATATAAAAAAAAAAAAAACTACAAAAAACGTGAAAACCTATTTCTATCTTACTGGTTTATATTTATTACAAATGTCCTCATAGTCAGCATAGCCCAGAATGGTAGACCGCAGACTCTCACCATGAACATTTTTAGTGTCCTGGTTCGAATCCATTTGTTGGCACATTTTTATTTTTTCAAACTTTTTACCTGTATAAACACTAAAGAACGAGTGCACTTATGGGCCCCGGTAAAATGTGAAATAATGAAGAATCAAATTAAGCTTAATTTTCCATCTCAGATCATTAATTGATATCTAAACCCTAAATTCAACAAATTTTATTGCTGAAATTCATGAATATACAAAGAGCAAAGCCATACAATGTGGTAGGGGTCAGCCAACATTCGTGATTTTCTATAGTAAATCGAGGACAGTCATTCATTTCAAAGCTTTTGTTTATTGTCAGCCTAACGTTGTACAAACTTGTGTGATTGACAAAAAATGCATTATACATTTATAAAACTTGTGTGAAAGTAGGAAATTTGTACAAGATTAGGCTTGTACTTAAAATATTAAAAAAATGTATGAAAAGTTCAATGTTTTTCCTATAGCAAGTAAGAGCTTAGATTTACCTGTATGATCTAGCTATGTTGAACCCACCCATGGAATAAATTATTTAAAATACCGGTAGTCACGTGAGTTCTACCCAGGTAAACATTCCTCAAAGATGCTCACTGTAAAGCATAGCCACGTTTTGTATCATTATATCAAAGTCATGCCGCATAGAGAAGTTTGTATGTACATGTATTTGGTTTTAGGAAAACGGGAGGGTTAGGAACACAGAAGGGTTAAGAGAGTTTAGTGTCGTTAAAATGTCATCATAAATAAAAGTGTCAAACATTTTTAACATTCAAGCAAGACAATGGTACCAGTATTGAAAGCCACCCAAATACACCTTTTTTCATTTTAAAATATAAAGGAACTAATGTTAATACTTATTGCATTATTTCAAATGCAAGCATACCAATTTCATAGTTTGATCACTATGGATACAGGCATCTATACAACTTCATTCAATTTTTTTCTCGGGTAAAATAGCGCAAGAAGTATCATTCGGCAAATGTGCCTGTCAATGATCCACCATCAGATTGTTCAAGTGTCTGATTTAAGATTTAAATGCCTCCTCCCCTTGATTTAAATAAACGATTGAAACTCAAAATGGGTTTGATATGACTTTCCGGATCTATAGGCATTTAAAAAACTTCATTTGTTTCAAATCCATGCTGATTGATGTTTTAGCGTGATTTTAATTAGAAATGTCCACTTGTGTTTAACTATTACTAAAAGAGAACAATTTGGTAATATATTCTAAAGTAATACAGCACTGAAAAAGGGCCCATTAAGCATTCCTTAAGTGCACTTGTCCTTGCACTTTGATTTTTTTATACAGGCTTTTGCATTTTACTTATATTTTCTTCCTTAAATGCATGTTTGGTGTTGATACAAAAGACATCTACAGAAATGCAGATCATAAATTCTCTTTAACTAAATGCAATCAACCGGAACTATACCTCATTGTAAGCACACTTTGTTCGAGGACACTAATCATTCACTTTGTGTTACTCGATACTGCAGGTGTCAGGAAAAAGAATCTTGCTGAGCAATAACTGCTGTGTTTTCCTTTCAAGAACATAATGACATGTAATAGTACTGTTGTGCCAGTGGGAGAGATACTGTTCTATGCTGAGTAGATGCAGTTCATTCCTTGGGAAAAATGTGTGCATTGGCGATATGTTATGCTAAAAATGCATGAGGGTTTTCAGATTAGAAAAGAATGTGGTAAGGTCAGTTAAGGTTTTATGTCCCATTGCCATTACTCAGTCAGACATCAAGAATGACCCTCATACAAAGGATGTATAATTCTGTAAATACTGAGGTAGGATCATATGAACACACAGTTGACTAGAATGAAATATATCGAGATAACAAACAGTATTCAAGCTCAAAAGCCCATCAAAAAATACAAAATAGGAGCAGAGCAAACACGGACCTCCAAAACATCAGAGGTGGGATCAGGTGCCATGGAGGAGTAAGCATCCCCTGCAGACCGGTCACACACGCCATGTGCTCCTTGTCACAACTGGGAAACAATGGAAAAATCCATCGATAATTCAGTGTGTAAATAATGGCCTAACAATAAGTATGAAAAACGTCACTCAGCATTTGACTTAATGATAAATTGTATTTGCTGACAAAGTCATTGTATCGACCATAGAATTTACAAAATGATAACTTTAAACAAGACTGCTGATATTCTTGTTTCAGCAACTTGTTTGTCAATAACTTACCTCGTTTTAAAAGAATTTCAAACATAGAGGATGCTCTTTCGTATCAAATCAACTGAGAGATATAAACCCTGTATGCAGGTGATGAAGGTATATTGCTAAATAAGTAAGGGAAGTTGACAATTGAAAAGTTAAAGCCATCTCATTTGTCATAAAGCTTGGTTGTTAGATTACCATTAACGTAGAACTAAAGCAATACATGAGAAACAAGAAACTACACACATGTGGCCTAAAGTCAGTGATCGGAACATACATCGATAAGCTTTTTCTAAAGACTGAAACCAATATTGGTCCTAAGGTCAACTCAAATTTTTAACTAGAAGTGTTCCTTTGATATACTATATTTTACTTATTTTCTATAGACTTACTATACCCTGAAAAAAAAAATGGAAAACAGGAACTAGCTGTTTAAATGACCTCGACCACCGAGGTTAATCTAAAGTTTGTCCCTGCCTACCTGAAAAACAGACTACCTCGGGCAGTCAGTAATTTCCAACTCTGGTTATGAGATGCTAAATGTTCAATATTTACAATCAAATGCTTATATTTACATTTTTAAATTCAGGATAGATTGAGAAAGTCAATAAAATCACTTCTATATTACGTCTGTATACTTCAACTGAGAAATTAGTTGAAACTGGTTCCAGAAAAGAAGCTGAAAATGTTCAATAGTTTACAGACAACACTTGAAACATGATGACTGAACAAACACAGATAGCAATAAGTAATTTAAATGACTCAGGTGAATTATAACCTGTTCAATCTAATAGATCCATCTTTTTTCTAATACGACGGTTGATCCAAAAGTTTGTGAAATTTAATTATCTCTAAAATTTTATTGTGATTTGATGAAAGCAAACAATAGGCATATTTATAATATGGAGTCTTTATGCAACAATACTGGATATTTTCACCATGTTCCAATTACCAATAAGGTCACACGAGCTTTCTGAACATTGATAGTTGTAAAATCAGGGGGAGACTTCTACGTAACGTCAAGTTAAGTATGTCATGTCACATTATAGGAGCGTTATAGGAGCATCTCACCCTCATGTTCAATTCGACTAAGTAATTCTACAGAATATTCTGCCTTTTTCTCCTTTTCTCTCTCAAGAAAAGCCTTGGTATCCTCTCACACGGATCAACTTATCTTAATATTACACTCATATTTCAAAAATACTCCCCATCTTTGCATATGGTGTTCCAATTTCAGAAGCAAAGTCAAGCACAGTACGTCAGCGGTCAACGTCCATCAACGCTTTTAAAATTTGTCTATGAGAAAAACAGACCCTCCAAAAGGCGGCCACACCTTTAATCAACCTCCATGGAAGTTCTGTTTTTCTTAAATTTCTAATGCCACTGGTAAATCAGTTGCTTAATGCATTTTTCTCCAGCCTGTATCAGTAGTATACCCCTTTAAGTCAGAGTGTTCCCAAGATTTTAACAAAACTTATAACTTGACCAAAATGTGATGTTCTCTAACAATTAAAATATGAACAAGAAATCATCAACTAATAATCTAAATATCAAGTTAAATCAGTAAAACTCTCACAGAAAGGTATTTTAGTGGTCAAGCAATCGTAATTATGACAAAATTTTCGTTTTATTTGCCACTTAGTGCAGGATTTTTCTTATTTCACGTATTAAGAATTAAAATGATAATGAACGAGTAAATGTCTCCCCTGCATTTTCAAACATCCTTTGCTATGGCAACTGCCATAGAGTTACTATCATAAATATTTAAAATATTGTTTATTAAAAAAATTCAACAAGTGTCTATATGATTCTTATTTGTAATTTTCAACCACTTACACTAATAAATAAATAAAAAATGAAGAAATTCCATGAACTTTCGAATCAACCCTCGTACATGTCAGTCATTAAATTTATATTAATATACAGCATGCATAAGGGAGACCAAATGTATTATTACTGCATTAAGGAGACCAACTACTATCCACATGTAAATCAGTATTTAACCACTTTCACTAATAAATAAATAAAATATGAAGAAATTCAACAAACTTTTGGATCAACCCTCATACATGTCAGTCATTAAATTTATATAATATGCAGTATGCATAAGGAAGACCAAATGTATTATTACTGCATTAAGGAGACCAACTACTCTCCACATGTAAATCAGTATTCAACCAATTTCACTAATAAATAAATACAAGAGGCCCAAGGGCCTTAACGGTCATCTGATTATAATACAACAATTAAGAGGATCCACAGAGTATAAAATGAACTGAAAGGTGAAGCTTTGTTGCCCAAAAGCAAGAAAAATAGAGTGATCAGGATCAACAAAATAATTAGTCTAGTGTTCATGAA